ACACAGACCCGCGCAGCAGCAGCAGCAACAGAACGATAATGATTTTTTTCTAGTCTTGGGGCTCACGTGAATCCTACAGTGTGTGTGTGTGTGTGTGTGTGTTCAGTTGGACAGTTAGGTGAACACACAGAGTGTGCATGCGTATTTCGCAAATTTTTTTGATTGAAATGCCAAAAGTGACACCGTGACACGAGGGACATTACACACCCACAACCTGCGGTTTCATTGCAGGAGGTTTACAAGTACACCGAAGAGCAGCACAAGATAGTTTCTAATCGAACGATGGAACTTATCATAAACACAAAGAATGTTTGCTGAAGTTTTAGCAGTAGATACCGGATTATGTTCCGCTATCTGGATAGACTGGGTAACATTACCTATACGAGCTGGGATTGAAGTGTCAACTTTAAGCTAACCTGTTTATATGAGCTGTCGAACTGATTCGGTCAGAACGAAGGGAATCAGGGGTGATGGAACAGTCGAACAGTGTGAACAAAAAACGGCATGAGACTAATGTTGAAATTCCAGCTGCACGGCTCTGACCTGTTACAGATAAGCACGGTCATGGTATTGACTCCTCAATTGGATGATTCAAGCTTATTCCATTGGCATAGTGGGTTTCTGCTTGTCTCCTTATAAAGGGATTCTTGTTTCCACACACATTATTCTCATGTTCAAAGGAATGCGGTACATTGCGATATGTAGTAGAAATAATGCGGAGCATTGGAGTGTTCGCAAAAGCAGGGCTTCTATACCTATTCTCTCAAGCTACACACACACACACACACACAACTCTGATTGATTCGGTAATCATAGTTCTCTGGTGTGATGTTATTACAACTGATTCTCGACCATTGGATGATGACGAATAGGTTGGATTCTGACAGACTGTTTCTCCATTCAACTGAGAAAAGTTACTCCTTCGGTTTGTGGATTGAGGCATGAACAAAAACCTTAAAAATCCGGCACCCACGGATAGACCTTCGGTGAGCCCAATGATCATGTGATTAGTAATCCGAAAGTAAAGATAATAGTTGTGATACAACTTACCGGTTCGACATCGAAACTGGTGGACTTTTTCGCTTGGACCGTTTTACTTAAGTTCCACAGTTTCAGTGTGTGATCCTCGCTCGCTGTGACGAGAGTGGGTTCAGTCGCATGAAACGCTATCGCCCGGATCGCATCGAAATGACTGCGCAATGTATATTTGGCGGTCCATGAGACCGGTTCCGGTGGTGATGATGTACTGGTCACGGTAGCCGCACCGGGATTGCCAGCTATCATACCACCCGAAGTGGTAGTGGAAGTTGCTGGGGCGACGGAGCCTGTATTACGTAGGGCCATGAGGTCTCCGACACCATCTAGATTATCCATAGCAGCCGCTACAGCAGCTCGAGAATGTCCGCTGGCATCGGACTCGTTGGCCACAGTCAAACTGGCCAGATCTCCTAAGACTAGAGTGGTCGGACCCGGAGTAGGAGCCGCGGACTTGGTCCCTCTGACAACTCGAGAAAGTCCGGGGGAGGTTGGGGATAGTGCTCCACGAGAAAGAAGAAGCTCATCTCGGGGAGAGACCGGCTCATCTTTTACAGCGGTCTGGTCGTGGTACACGAGCAAGGCGGCAGGATCAGTAGATTCCAAACCGGTCGGATTGGTCACCGCAGGGCGCTTTACATCGATGTCACCGGCTAATAAGGAAGAAATAACGAATTCGGGGTCTGTGATGCCATCATGTGACGATGTCTGGTGTTGTGGATCGCCGGAGACTCGTGGGGAGTGAGCACCGGACTTGGCAGCTGTTTTCGCAAGGTGAGGACACAGAGAGAAAAGGGGGTGACGATGGATAGAGAGAAACCTTCGATAGTCAATCACAGCAAAAAGAGCAAATACGACTGCTCGCGTCCTTAGCAGGGTACTAAGAGGAAGTATACGACTTGAGAGATGACGGCGTAGAGTGAGTATATTTACAAGCCTTACCAAGCTCGATATAAAAGCATAATAAGAGCTCAATTATATCGAAATCGGACTAGTTTAAAGAACACACAGAGTACGCAGTGAGGTGGTCACCCCACAAGAAATCCAGAAGCGTTTGGAGCTTTGTTGCCTCCAGGACCTAAAGTGCGAATCCCAACAGCGGCGAATCCTCTTTGTGGAGGAAATTTTGACTCTTGCACCTCAAAAGCTCTACCAGAGGAAAAGTCAAACACCTCCCATCTTCCCTAATCACAAAAACGCACGAAGTGAGGCGCTGACTAAGTTAAGAAAGCTTCTATGACGTAAAGCATACCTGTTCCTCAGATTCAGGTGAACTACAGAGAATGAATGAAATATGAAGAATAAAAAATTCCATACATTTTAGAAGTCTGTCTCAAACAACCTTTATTGAATACTGAAAGGCCATAGATTTCATCTAGTAGGATCGGGATAAAACCTGCCAAAGCAGCCGGCTTACGTGATCATTGTATTGCTTATATTCGACTGCTGACCTGTTACGTGAACAGAAGTGAAAAGAACTGTATATCAACCGAAAAGGCGTACGTTGTGCAAGAGCGTAAGTGGCGTCCGTGAATCGGTTTGCATCCCACTGAGGCTACTGATCTTTTCGCAAATTCCTCAAACAAAACAACGTTCCAAAATCCACGCGTGACATTTAAAATGAAGTTGAATGCGTCTGCTGCCAAGGGACCACACCGTAAGAACTGATCTGTTCTCGTTTGGTTGATTCGTCCAATTTATAAATTCTGGATCTTTTCACAATTCAAACATAGTGTAGCTTTCCATTCTCAAGCTAAACAATGTATATATGTACATGCCATCATGGAATGATATGATTAGTTTCAAATTGTTGTTTTGCCTGAGAATGGGAGACTATAGTATTTTGTTGCAAACAGACATTGTCTTTTAGGCTAAAACGGCACTAGGACAGTCTGCGGTCAAAATATATTGATAAACTGGTCTGAGCAAGAGCAGAGCTGTATGCCAGCGAGCGCGTCTCCAGGTCGGTGAAAGCGGAATGACAGATAACTCGCGGTTAACCCTGAATAAGGTGGGTTTAGGTCTACTGAATAAGCGGTCGCGGAAGATCAGTGGCAGAACCCGAAAATGTGGTGGATCTAGAACTTCGCAAGCGTTGTCCACACACAACACAACACGTATCTCATGACAACGCTGTGGGACCCGAAACTGAATACGGACATTGATCCCATTGCGAGCACCACCAACCGGACAAAGTTTACCAGAAAAAGTGAATGAACAAACAGAACCGTTACCTGCTCATCGAGAACAATGCTGCTGCCTTGTAGTTCGCGCTGTATTGCGAAAAGGCTAGAATGCAACCTCGAACAAAACCTGATACGACCGATTAGTACAAAAGCACAAAACGGAAATAGAACGAAAAACGAACTTTTACTTATCCAAATATTCGCTTTTACAGCTTTCTTTTATCAGAGAGAAACGTTCAACACCGTGCACATCATCCTAGTTTCCAATTTTTCTTTCATCATATATTTAAAGCTTCAAACATTTTAAGTACCATCAAGATCATCAGACGATCGTACCAAAAGTTGCGTCTCAGATAGAAATTCCACCCCCTATTCTCTCACGTACAAGTCTCAACGAATAATGCCAAATCAATTGAAGCTCCTTCCTCCTTGATGACCCTTCAAAATAACCACAATCAACAAGCGCAATCTGAAGTGTATAGGACAACGGGCATGTTTAGCTCATGACCTCGCCATCAGCCATCGATGTATGTGTCCAAGATATTTGCATTCAAGACTCCTGATCCACCATCCGACTCAGGTCCCCATCAAACCATTGCGCACACTTTCACCTCCACCTTTCTGGTTACACTGAGGCCGTGGCTTCTGGTCTTGCTTGTGTCGGTGAGGCTCTCAATGATAGAGCTGGGTAGTCGATACCAAACATGTTTCAGCCCCGCATACGCCGCTCTAACATTGAAAAACCTGCGCTTTCCTCCTATAGTATGCTATCATCGTTGGTCACGCAATTGCCTAATAAAGAGAAACAATCCGCCGTAACTAATTCCTCACCGTCAAACATTAGAGCCGGAGTAGACCTCACCTTTTGTAATGTTATCTTTTTACACTTTGAAGGTGCGGCGTATGCGGGGCTGAAACATGTTTGGTATCGATGTAAAGTTTCGTTGAATTAGTAAGATCGTGTATGCTGCATCATTGTGCTATCAATTTTGCCTCGCGGCAGCGAGACCCCAAGCATGCGCACGGAAGACATTCACTGTCCAAAGGTCTTCGGCTATTGATTTAATTAGCGCAAGCTGTATGGAGCGAGCGGGTGAGTAACACTGAGGTAAGCAGAACATTTGAGAATGTTTAGATGGAGAATTCGCATCATCGAATTCACATAAACAAACTTGGCTGGTTAGAACACGTTTTGCACAAGCCCAAGTGTCCTCTTTCGTACTGCGTCGTATCTGTATTGGTCGGTCCAGTAGGAGATAACCATGCGGAAATCAACGGATGGCATGGAAACGCGGAATGAATAAACGCATATAGTAATCAAGTAGAGTGGGTGTCTCTCACCTTCCAGTATGGGATCCAAAACACTTTAGAGACACTGAAGGATATGGACAGCAGTGACGGTCTTGTTGTCGCTTCTTATCAAACCAGAATGCTTGAACAAGTGTGTAAGCACAGTTAGATTGTGCACTTCGCGTGCTGACCACAGAAGTTCACGTTCTCTCCCCCCCCCCTTCAAAAAAGCTTCAATCACTATCTGCCCTAGACATTTCAACTCACTGTCTATGCGTGGTAACCTTCGCAGGAAAGTTCGCTCCACTGTATAATGCTGTACGATGAGGACGATACACGCGAGCTATCAGCCAAAGGAGTGTGTGTGTGACTTCGAAAAGAATTCAACTCAAAGAATCACGACGATCGTTCCTTGGTACTAGTTCGCGGGTTAGATGAACTCTCATGCTCGTGAGCAGCAAAACTGGATTTCAGTCAGATAGGAGTTTCATCGATAATCTGTTCACGCTACATCAGCTATTGGAACACGCTCACAGAAAACTGAGCAGTCCAGTTTCCCTGTTCAATAGCAGTGTCTTTAATCGACTCACTTTGTGGATTTGTTTAAAGAAAAAATGAAGTGCCCTACCAGTAAAAAGTACGTCAGAATTGTAGGAAAAATACACTCAGTAACGAAAGTTTCACAACTCCTAGTTTTTTCCAGTATCTTCAGTCCTGAGTGCAACATACTACATATTTCCGAAATACATATAGTGGTCAGGTAAAAGGCCTAAATATGAAAATTCTGTTGTTCAGCTTTTTTCAAGAGAGAAATCACGGTAGAAAAAGTAATGCTATCAAAAGTGTCGTAGCCCTCTGGGGTTCCATGTAAATTAAGCAATCATTATGACTCCGAACACCAATACACCTGTTGCGCATATCTCATACGAAGTCCCGCAAAACATTTTTGTGGATAGACAGCCATTTCCTATTCACAGTGCAGTTCATTCTTCGATTCATGGATTGCGAACTTGCAATGAAACCTAAGGGGTCAAAATACCCTAATATTCTCCGCCGGTTTGAGATCTGGGTCGTCATGCCATTATTTTTACACTGTGGGACAGCTTCCAATCGGACAGGAGTGTACACTGTAGCATATTCATGAATGAAAACGACCGTCTAACCACTTATCGCCACTAACGGCAATGGACAGCGTTTGACTGCACGAGCGTACACCCAATACCATTGGCGAAACTGAAACATTATTCGTCTTTTCTTGAATTATGCCGACAGTAATTCTATAAGTACTATGTTCCATGTGTGTGGGGAGGAACCCGGATGGTAATATCGACGTTGCTATTCCTACTATAATTTCTCAAAGCGCACCAGTTACACCATCTCTCCTCGTTGAGAAATCCGAGGCTTGTCTGAGATTGTGAGTCTTTAAGCACATTTTTTCTCAAATCTACATTTGTAACGTTTCCTAAGTGACCAGTTCTCACATTTTCATTTATTCTTAGCATGATCAAAGTAAATGTAGGTTCATTATCCGCTTCTATTAGAAATAGCTCAGAGTATGCATCAATCCTTTTCCAACTAGAGTCCCAATTTATTTCGATCGCGGGTAAAGAGAAAAAGGCCAGTATACGATCTTAACCGCACAGATTCCTTTTTGAAAGGTTTGTATATCAAACTGGATAGGACGTAACAGGATACATTTTTATTACACACCTTAGTTTGATGGACAGCAAATGTAAAACCCACAGTCACGAAGATTGACAGCTCAGTACAAAAGCTTGGTGATCGCGAACTTGAGATTTCCCGACTGGTTATGCAGATGTTTTTTGTGGATCAACCGATGAGATTGAACGAGGACAACTTTGTTTTGTTAGTTCTTTTTCAATGGGGCACCGATCTATTTTGAGTATGTGAACAGGTAAATCATGACCTGAAGCTCTAACCGCATTAGGTTCCCGTTAGCTCCCTACGTAACTACTGTTGTGGATAAGAAAAATTGTGGAAACCAACGAGAACGAAGGTGATGGGGGCACATCACTGTAATATCAAACCGTTCGAACCCGCCACCCCACTGCTATCTCTACACACACACACACACACACACACACACACACACACACACACATCCCACCCCATCCGCTCGTCAGTCCCCCACAGTGGGAGACTGCACAGAAGTTGTGCAAAATGTCGTGTTAGTTGGACATGAATGGAAATCAATCAGAGTGACAAGTCGAGTGGTTGCTTTCAGAAAGCTTGGCTAAAAGCTGGTTCAACGAGACCTCAGAAGATAATATCCAATCAACCGCTCTCAACTTTCACATCCCAAGCATCGGTTCATTCCGAAAACACACTTTGCGACCCATATTTTGGCTAAATGAATCCAGAAAACCCAGAGATGGAGAGAGGCACATTGGAAACGAAATGGTGTGTAAGGATGCACAAACCGATCGAAAACGACCTGCGAATGAGAGGGGGAATTTAGCACATCAATAACTAGTATGCTTAGTGATCATTCAGTATGTTTCAGTCCAAACAAAAGATTGCCATTAGTATCATTTGTTCACGACCGTCGGCACACTGTCCTGTTGCATGACCGCATTCACATGACAAATAAGGAAAACAGAGGCATCGAACTCACCTTTGCATCGATCCGCACGGTACTGCTCTTTAAGTCTGGTAAGCATTTCTTTCTCATCTAACGAATCCCAATCGCGACAGACTCCAGGGCCTACACTATCCTTGAGCAAATTATCGATTTGGATGGTGGATAATTCGAATGAATCTTGTTCACCTGAAACGGGAAAGTGACAGGCACACACACATGTATATATAAACATATACGAATAAACGTAAATGACCGCGAGAGAGAGGATGAGCAGAAGAATGTAAAACCTGTGCGGTGAGTGGGCAAGACCGAGCAGACCAAATAATACTTAGACATATCTTATTTATGTTAAAATTTATGGTCATACGGCATTGAATAAAGACGAGTTAAAAGCCCGTGTGCAAAACTTCGCCCCCAACTAGGGGATATTGAATTTCTTTTAGCTTCTATCTTTGACAGGATTAACAATCAGAATGGTTAGGAAAAACAACCGACAATATCCCGGGGTTGTGTGCACAATTTCAATGACTGATCACAGCATCGAAGAGTGATCATCTGGGTGTTGCGACACTATTTTTTCGTGCTAGGCAGTTTTGAGGATTACCTATCGGCCGCCTGGCTGCCGTCTCCCGGTTTGTCAATTCGAATCCCGCTACTGTCCACCTACATTTTAATTCTATCGTCTAGTGTCCTTTATTGGGCCATGACCTCTTTCCTGAGTAGTAGTAGTTGTACAAGTGAATTTTGTTACTACTCTTGCTGTTCTCATTATTGCTATCATTTTTTTCATTACACACTTTCGTGTGACAAACAGCAGACGGGGTAAACCCCATAGTCACGAGGACCTGCTGTTCAGTGATGGAAACGGGTAACCTAAGCCCCGGGAGTTGGGGTAATAAGCCACATAAGGCCCCGATAGGTATTATTATTATGGAATTTCGAATGATTACT